GCTTCCTCTCTAAACCCTTCCCCAGCTTCATTGCCCTTCTCTGGACACGCTCCAGCACCTCGATGTCATTCCTGATTTTAGGGGCCCAAAACTGGACACAGTATTCAAGGTGTGGCCTCACCAGTGCTGAGATGGGATTAAGCTGCTGAAAGGGCTCTGTGTCCTTTCCTCATCCTCAGGCTAAATTTTATTTATGATCTGGGATAAAACCTTAATAAATGCACCTCCTGGCATCTTTAAGAGGTAAATATCTGGGGAATGGAGAATGTTGCACCTGAAATTTTTTATAGTTTTGGGTTGGTTTTATTAATTTTCTTGGAATACAATCCCTACTAAAATACCCACTTGTTAAAAGATTGCATCTTTCTCTCTTTTCTCAGTGGAAATTCTTCTGCCAAACTTAGTTAAACAGGTTTCTGATGGTTGGTAGAGATTTGATCTAGAGATACCAAAAAAGCCAAACAACAGGTGCTGAATTCTTAAGCAACAAATCTCACTAGAAAACAAATCAAAAATACATTCAGAAGAACTTAATAGTTTAAGGGACTAATGGATTTGCACATCTCAACCAATGGCTCACACCCAGCACAGGTTAATAACAAGCCCCACCCTTCAGTCAACGTCTAAATAAATTCAGTCTCTTGTCTAGGGTTGTTGTTAGGAGACTTCACTTAGTGAAGACACCTGGGCACTAATCTCTTTAAGATTCCATGCATTTTTAACATCTCTTTATGAAATCCACTGTGTAAATCCCACCTGTGCCTTTTTCTGCTGTTTCCTCACTACACCTCAGTTCATCTAGCTTAAGCAAGCTCAACTACCCTGTGGCAGCATCCCGTGGCCTCCGAGCTGTGTGAAACAGCACCAGTGGGATCACACAGCCACAGAGAGGATTACAGACACCCACAGACTTCTCTGGGACCAGAGTCAAGCTCTAATATAACAGAATGAACATCACCAACAGAGAAAAAGACACACATACCTTCCCACAAGGTTGTGCAGAGATTGACTAGATAATGGCCCAGACTCCAAACACCCTCATTCCTCATGAGCTCAGTGTTTATAAAGCACTGTGAGTACCATTTGTTCCAAGTAGTGTGAGTACATACGTGTCACAGCTGGGGATGCTGTTAAGTGATCAGGCAGAAGTGCTGGAGATGTTAATGGAGCTGGCTAGATAATTGAAGACATTTTTTCTGCTAGAAAATTCCACCTCTCATGTCAAAACCCAAACAGTCCAGAGAAATATGCACTTTCCAGTATAAATGTCTTAAGAATGTAAGAAAGTGGCCAATCTACTTAAAGATCTGGACCGATTTGTAAGGAGCTGAAGAAGCTTTACTCCATATTCATGTGAATATAAGCCTAACCCAGCTGTTGGCAAGTAACTGGTCAGAGTTCACATTTTTTTTGAGAGAAAAATTTCTGACAGTTCATTTTTTTGTAAAGGATATTGAAAAAAACATCAGAGTAAGAATTATCTCTCATTTTCTTCTTTCTTTTTTTTTTTTTTGATTAAACAGTTTATTTTCTCTGCAGCCCTTATTATTACCCAAACTCAGTGGCTGGATTCTTTCCTGAAAGAGCTATTAGAAGCTTTGAACAATTTCTACCGGAAATAAGAACTGTGAGGGCGATGAGGCACTGGAACAGGTTGTCCAGAGAAGCTGTGGATGCCCATCCCTGGAAGTGTTCAAGGCCAGGTTGGATGGAGTTCTGAGCAACCTGGTCTAGTGGAAGGTGTCCCTGCCCATGGCAGGGTGTTGGAACTGGATGAGCTTTGAAGTCCCTTCCAACCCAAGCCATTCTATGGTTCTATGGTTATGTGGGAAGAGAATTAAGCTCGTTGGGACTGAGCGCTTAAAGGACTGGACAGCCTGAGTCAGCTAATTATAGGGGATGGTCTCCAAATAAAATGTATTTACATTGAACCAAATGAATTTGAGGGCCTTTCTTTTGATTTCAATAGGCTTTAGAAGATGCCTCTGCTTTGGAAATCTGCCTAGTACAGTTGATCAGTTGGCTTTTCAAAAAGCTTTTATTGCCTTTCAGAAAAGTAAGAAAACAAATGAAGCCCCCTGCAAACAAACAAACAAACAAAAATTAGTAGCAAAATAACCTCCCAGAGCAAGAAATCTGGATTTCTGAGTCTGATCATGCTGTGGTCTATCATGGCAGAAGTAGTAACTCAGATATTTGTATTTTTGCTTTTCAATATTTAACTTTGGTTTTTTCCTCCTTTTTCAAATATACCCACTTACCTGATATGAACATTTTTCTCTTAGTCCCCTGTAATTGCCAACTAGGACAATTATCCTAATCTTGCACTGATGTGTGGTGTTTCACTTGTAAGGAGACTAATCTAAGCCCGCCAGACTCTGCACCTAAACGCATTTATAGCTGTCAAATCTAATGCAAGTCAAGTGATCGATCTTCTATGTAGCAGCTGCAGCATCCTCCAGAAATTAATTTAATATGTGATCTGTGGCAAATCCATCGAAATAATGTTGCTTAGATGCTCATTTTGCTTCCTTTATTTCCTTTGGTTTGTTTAAACACAATTGGCCAAGAGAGGATAATAGGGCTGTAGAAGCAGACGTGAGAGGAGAATTTGTCTCAGCGGGTGAACACTATTCCAAAGGAACAGGAATGGATTGGACATTCAGAGAATCTCATCTATTTTGAGGATTTGGTGTTCCCCCCACTCCTAAACTGTAAATATTTTCCTGACAGTGTTTTGGCTGTTTGTCTCCTGCATAATAAATGCTGCAAATGCTTGTATTACCAGTGGCTTCAGTGATCCTGGAACTCCTCAAGAGATCACTAGTAAAAATATCTTGTTCTTTGTCTTGTCATGCAGCTGCTCTCAGTTTTGGTTTAATAAAGTACCAACTACAGCAAATCATCTGTCAGGTTGCAGGTGAATTTAAGACTTTCCTGTGGGTTGGTCTGGGCTGCCTCCTGTGCCTCCTGCCAGAGTGTAGGTGATAAACTATAAATAAGCAGCCCAGATCACAGGATTTATGTTCTGTATGAGACACAGGTCCTAAAAGTGTCTTGTTCTTTTTGAGCACAAAATCATCCTGACTATGACCCTGTATCACAGGGGAGCATCATTAATATTAACAGTATATGACAAAAAGACAATTTAAAGATCAATTCTAAATATTTTAAATCCTTCATTCTCTTGAAGTTTGCTTGCACATTAATGGCTTGTAGAGTAAAGCTAACAAGCCAAAAATGGAGTCATTTAAATTAGAGGTTTCTCCAATACAATCCCTCTGCTTTAAAAAAAAAAAAAAGGCATTTTTTCAATGCTTCTTATTCTCCAGAGTTTTATGATGGTCCCCAAATCTAAGACACTTACAATTTTCTTATTTTCTGCACATTTGAGGCATTACCAATATAGTGACATCCAAAAGGACTGAAGCTGTCTGGGTACATGTGTGCAAAATGCTCACGTTGCATACGAGCAGGAAGACTTTTTAAGGGGGTTTTGGTAAGGCTGTTTTTCATATGATTTGAATAGTTCAAAGGGCTAAGTCATGTTATCAGATCTAAATTGCACTTGGGTAACATCGAGCATGATAGGTAGAAACCAGATAGAGCTACTTCTGTATTATCTTCAATACTGTATAATCTTAATACTGTATAATCTTCAGTATTGTTTGACAGGGCCATAAATGCTGTCAGGTCCGGATGCCTTCAACTACACAAAACATTTTAAAGAATAAAAATGGTACTGGTGTACTTTTATTGGCAAAGGGTTCAGGAAAAAAAATAGCTGGGAGAGAGAACTGCAGCTAACCAGAAAGAGAAGGTAGGAGAGAATAGGTATGGCTGAGCTTGATGTGGACAGGAGAATGAGGGGAAAGCTACTGGTGGATCTGAAAGGGTGATCTTGCATGAGCTGGTGGGGAGAGTCTCAGGTGTGAGAAAGGGACTGGAAGCATCTGCCCAAGGTAGGGGCATGGCTTAACCATTCTTTTCCCTTTCTCTGCCAATCAGAAATCTGGAGGTCTCCTGGCTAGAAAGGGGGTGGACTGATCCCATTTCATTGCCCACAGCATGTGTGCTGCTACCTAGAGAAGCCCACAGCCTGTGTGTGCTGTTGCCTGACGTCTGGGGGAGACCTCTAATGACTCTGGACCTGCTCATGGATAAATAGGCTGGGAGATTTAGCCTTGGGGTCTTGGACACCTCTCCGGGACCTCCAGACAAATTATAATTGTCTTGTATGTCTTTGGGTCTTGCACCTCTCATTACCTCCCTCACATGAGAAAGAACACAAGGTCTTTAATCTTTCAGAAGTGTTGGGCAAAGGGAGAGAGCAGTAGTCAGCAGAAGGAGAGATGTAGCAGCTTTTAAGTGCCTGATTTTCTACCCTCTACTGACCCACTGGCTGTGACCTGCCTATACAGCAGCAAGGAGTGTCAGTCAGCAAAGATCAGCTTTTTTTTAATGTCTTTACTACTAGTACTGATAGTTCAATAGCCCAGACCAGCAAGGGAGTGGTGGAAGAAGTGCTGGAAGGAGGAAGAGAAGGAGAAGTGTGTGTTGAGGGGAAATTACTGTAGAACAAGGAAGAAGTGACAGTTTTCCCCAGCTGGCTCCCAGGCTCCCTGCAGACCGGAATCAGAAGCACATTCCCAGCAGAGCTCGGGTCTCTCTATGCAGACCCATCCTCCTTTTTCCCTCAGAGCAGACAAGACCAGAGGCCCTGTGAGTCCCCGAACACGTGTCAGGTGGCTTGGGGCAAGAGGGTTTGCTGTTCTTTGCACTGCTCACACCAAAACCCGAGACTGAGATGCAAAGCTAAAGTCTACTGATGTTCTCTAAGAGAACTACCTGCATCTTGTCAGCCAGCTAAAAGGGCACCTTCAGGCCAGAGGGAGAACTTCACTTGCTCAACCTCAGAAGACAAACACATGTTTATGAATTTTAAACAGGCTAGGTTTGTTATTCATATTATTTGGTATTTTTTTGTTCATATTGTTTGTTATCTAAAACCAGGATTATCACATTACAGAGCTCAAAACTGAGAGACTAGGAACTGCATTAAAGCCCTACTGTTTGCCACACCTTAATTTATATGTTTATAAAAGAAGGAATGTCTATTACATTATTTGTTCCTTATCAGCAGAAATATACCTAAATGGTAGAACTGGCCTCTGTTCACTAAACAATGAAATACCATAAATCAAATTCAGTGGCCATTTTAGAAATAATTCAAACCAATCAAAATCTTATCAACTCATTTAAAGCCAAACAGGGCCACAATGCCCAGCACAAAAGGCACACCTCTAGACTCATATCTCAAAATTTCATAAGCATTAATTCTGCATTAAGGTGCATGACACTGGCTGGCTGCACCATTTTTCTGCTGCACTTCTCTTTCACATTCCATCAAAAGAGCAACCAAAGTAATTGAAAAATAGCTTGAAGATTTGAGAGTATCTTCATCAGATGAGAGTGATGTAGTCACTGTTTGTTGTGCTGCCTGATAATGAGGGCAGACCTGTGATGTTAAGACTTTCACTGTCAGCAGGATTAATCACTTTACAAGCTTAAAGGAAAGAAATAAACCTAATAACTTTGTAAGATGTTTTGCACACATCATAAATATTCATTTGAAGAGCTCTCTGATTTTAAGAACAAAAGAAAATCCAGATTACATTTACATATATTCATTTCATATATTTATATATTCATTTCCACATTCTAAAGTCATGTCTTTCATATATGTGCATGACTTTTGCATACACATTTAGATAAGTCATGCATATAATTATTTCATTTTACATTCAGCCATCAAGAATTGTTGCAAAGTCACATTTGTGCAGCTGATAACATTTAGTATTTTTATTTCTATGCTAAAAACCCTCTTTTTCTCTCAGTCAGATCTAGTTTTGAAAAATCCAGATCCTGCCACTCATGGATAAACATACTACTCCCAGTAAACTCAGTATTATCTCCTATTTTCTAAAGACAAAACACAGGACTGATCCTGGAGTTACATTCATGCAAAAAAGGAAGAAACATTTTTTAATTAGGTATAAGAATTTGAGGGAAAATGTTGGATACAACTGAAACATGAAGAAATATAAGTCTATATTTTGATATTTCTATTTGCTGTCTGTATTTTATTTTAAAGATCATTTTAGGAATTTGTCTGCAATCCCATATACAGAATAAACTGCATGTTCTTTCTCTTCCATTAACTTTTCTTTTTATCCCTCAACCAGCTACATTTTCCTCTCTTTGTATAAAAATAATAACAGAACACTAGAAGTATAAGAAATAATGATCTGTAAATGCAGGAAATTGAGGGCAATTTTGTGAAAAGCAGCTGGAATTCTAAACATGTATTGCCCAATTTGCTCAATTTTGCATTTAACCTGTCAGTCTTCAAAAGCATTTGCTTTTCGTCAGAAAACAATAAAATAGCTCGTGAAGTTATTACTAGGCTGACAGCATGAGAGAATTTTTAAAAAGTTTGCTGATTAAAGTGCATCTGAAGAAATTATGCACTCAGGAAGGTAATTAAGGTGTTGCTGTGAATAGAAGTTATGGAAGCTGGCTGGCTGTGTGGAAGCCAGTGAGTCGACAAGGAGAATAATAAAGGAAAGAACTAATAGGTAACCCCATATTACATCTTAATCGCACAATTTTTTATGGCAAGATAACTCTGGAGGAAGAGAGACAGCCAATGTGAAATATTAATCCTGGGGACTCAAATGACATCTAGGAGGTCTTAATCTGGATCCATGAATTTAAAGATTGATGTGGGTTTTGGCCCAGTAGTGTTTAAAGGTTTTCAGCCTATTTAATCTGGATTGGATCCTGATCTCTTAATCATGTTAAGACAAGAATAACTATTTCAGCTAAGTTACATCATGGGTTTTATGGTGTTATTGCAAAAAATACAGTATTCCTCAATTACATTCAATTATATAAGGTCTTGGAGGCCTTACCCAACATTTTTAGAGCTGAAAATGATCATTCATTAGTGGTGATGGGGAAGACACCTCCAGTCCACATCAGTTAACTTTTTGGATTTTCTGGTACTCTGCAGGAAAAAAAGTAGTTGATAGTGAAAACAAAAACTAACCTAGATAGAACAGTGGTTGGATTTGGGGTAACTATTCTTTCATTGCTTATTTAGGTGAAATTTTGCATTTAAGACTGACTCGGAAAAATATGATCTTGCAGTGTCAGTCATCCCATCAATATCTTAACTCCATTTATTTTACTGAGGTTTTGCACTTACATTATGTTGCTGTCCACAGAACACTGTATATATCAAGACATCATTCATCAGGTGAAAACACCTGCTTTGGATTTACACAAATGAGGAGTGTGTTTCAACAGTGGCCCTACCACTCAGTTCTGAAATACAGAACCACAGAACAATCCAGGTAGGAAGGAAACTCATGAGAGCATCTGTCTCTGCCCCTGCTCTAAGCACCTAAAATACCAATTTAATCTAAACCTCTCATGGCACAGCTTGAGGCCACTTCCCCTTGTCCTGTCACTTCTTACCTGGGAGAAGAAACCGACACTCACCTTGCTACAACATCCTTTCAGACAGTTGTAGGAAGCAATAAGGTCCCCCTGGACCTCCTTTTCTAAATAGCCCCAGGACCCTCAACTGCTCCTCAAAGGACTTGTGCTCTTCAACAGCTCCATTGCCCTTCTTTGGACATGCTCCAGCCTCTTTGGACATGCTCCAGCCTCTTTGGACATGCTCCAGCCTCTTTGGATATGCTCCAGCCTCTTTGGATATGCTCCAGCCTCTTTGGACATGCTCCAGCAAGTAGTTCCCAGGGTAGTTCTATCCTAGACAGTGCATGCTCTGGAGCATGGGTAGACTGGTTCAAGTCCCGATTCATGCACTCTTTTAGCCCAGAAGGATCCTGATCACACCTGGGGTATCTGAGTGCAGCAGGCTTTTAGCCCCCCTGCTGCCCAAACACACAGACATCCTCCCCTTTTGTCCCTGCTTTGTGCAAGTGTTATGATGGAAATGAATCCCAGGGAGGCTGGAACCCATTCAGTCTTCTGCACTGTATGTTGTAAGTCTTGGTTGTAATGCTTTCTCTTCGGACAATGGTGTGTATGGAAAATTCAGGTGAGATGAAGGATTTTAAGTCATTTATATTTCAGCATCTCCCAGAAAGTGTAGAAAAAACAAGGTGGATTGATTCATGATTGTTCACATTTGGAAAAATCCCTTTTCTATGTTAGCAGTGAGACACAGGTATAACAGTGATAGTAATTATCTCCCAGGAAAGAAATGGCTGAAGTGAACTTCTCTGTTCCTTTGAATGAAGACTTCAAACATGACTAGATGGAAAATATAACTGTGTGCAACAGGCTGTTGACATCTGACCAGGTACAACTGGATGAAACTGTATGGTATGTTAGACTTGTGGTTAGACTACAGGAACTGTGGAGCTATTTGTACCTTTTAGTCTAAGCGAAAATGATATCTCACATGATGGGAAGAAAGAGTCATGAGCTGTGCTCCATCCTAGGAAAAGATCTGGGCAACTGTAAAACATCTGTTTTGAAAGCTTTCTTTCGAACCACAAAAAGGTGTTGGGTTTTTTTTCACTCTGTCCAGTATTGAGTAAAACACTTTGTTGGCAGAGAATCCTGACTTGTTCTTCCCTTGTTCTGAACTACATCTGACTCGAGAGGACAAGTGTGCAGTAGGAATTCTCTTTCCTGTATAAAACAGCTATGCTTAAAGAGTTCATATAACACAAGAACATACTAAAAAAAAAAAAATTATAAGAAGAGAGGTGAAATATAAACTTTGCAGAATATTGCACAGCCACTGAATGATACAAAATCAGAGAACTGGCATGAAACAGGTGTTTCACTTATCCAGTCTGGATCCGGCCTCTGTTTCAATTGCTGTTCCCATTCCAAATGACAGAAAGCTGTTATAAATACCAGATAGGTAAGTTCTATTTGGACTTGGGAATTAATTTGTTTGTCCAGGACTGACTAACAGTTATGGGGAAGGTTGGGCTGTATTGATGCTGGCTGGGAAGGAGTTACCTTTCTTCCTGGTGCTTCCCAGTTCCTCTCTATCATCTTCTGATTTTCCTGTAGCATTTTACAGCTCAAACCTAATAACTTGTGACAGAGAGACCTTAAAGGACCTTGAAATAAGGAACATTAAGATAAGACCTTAAGATAAAATAGGACCTTAAAATAATCTAGGACCTTAAAATAAACTAGGACCAAGGCAACACTCTGCTGGGTGGGAAGGTAGAGATGGAGGGGGGCATCCCAACAATGGGCCTGTGGGGTTTAGCTCTCTGCTGCAGAGGGGAGACTGAAGGTGAGGTTGGGACTGCAGAATGCGTTTGTAACTCACAGTGGTGGTGCTGCCAACAATATCTTGGGCACGAGGAAACAATCCTACCTCTCCACAATGACATAGATAAGATAACAAGTCCTTGATAGTCTGATATGCTATGTCTGTGTTTATCTCAGATTCCTCTCAGCTGCTGTGGAGAGGATATTTAGACACTTCCTCTGACCTTTCCACTGCAGAGAGAAGCCACGCAGCCACCGCATGCTGGGCACTGTCTCACTGCATATGGACACCTACGTTCCTCTTTTCCTTTGTACACTTCCACTGGTTGTGGCCCACAAGCCTTCCCAGAGGTAGCTGTGGCTAGCTGGGTGCTGGATTTAAAGGCAGTGTGTAGACTGACAGGACAGCATCATCCAGTGATGTCCCACACAGTGTAGATCTCTGAAGGACATACATATCAAAAGGCTTTTTTTCTGGAATTTACCTGGCTCCCTACAGAGTACTTTAGCCTTTTGTTGTCTGTATGCTTCAAAATATCAGAAATTTCTATCCAGTTATCCTAGCAAATTTCAAGCCACCAATGAAGTTTCGAGAATCACTTGAAGTGTTTGTGCACCAGCACAAGCTAGTGACTCATCAGTTTTTGTCATTTAATCCTATGCCAATAAGCCTCCACTTCAGCTGTGCCAATAAAGATAAGCAGAGAATAATTCAGGCCTCCATGGCCTCTCCTCTCACCTTGGAGACCTAGGAATGTCCCTAGGCAACCCCACCCTGACACACTTGCCAGGGGGAGGGCCTACCCGGCTGAGCCCTCCTGCATGCACACAGCATCATCTTTTTTAGACCAATGAAGGTTTAAATCCTCATTTGATTCTGTGTTTTGCCACTTCTCCCCCTACCACCCCTTCATGTCTTCATTAAATATGTGTGAACGCCCTGAAGGTGTCATAATGTGCAGGTCAGAAGTTGGAGAGATATCAGTGACCTCAGAGGTGGCAATTGCCTGCCAGCTCTCCAAGGGGCACAGCTCTGGGTCGGTTATGATTACCTGTATCAGCTGTGGATATGGCACAGAATATCCAAAGGCGATGATTTGTTGTGAGAGGGATAAAGGAAGGTCACGGAACTTTACAGTCTGACGTGCCATAAATGCAACATGACTCTGCACATATTGTTGACTTCCTTTAGAGTATTAAACACAGGCACAGGTGCCACAGATTGCAGAGCCTGTGAAGTCAGAGAGTTCTGAAGTCAGAGTTGTTAGCTTGTACTGCTTGATTAGTGTTGAGCTACGGGTTAATGAAGAGAGGCCTCTCTGAAAGCACTGAGACACTGCAACAAAGCCTACCTGGAAGAGAACTGCTGTTGGAAGCATAAAGCAATCCAATGCCAATTCCAGTGAAGCAGTTTTGGCTAAGTCACACTACCTGATAGCTGGGACCAGCTCACAGTACATCGAGGTAGAGTTACTATGAATCTTGATGTGTTGTGAGCTCTACATCCAGCTTGCAACCAGATTTTTTTCAGAACCACATGGAAGCCCAGGGTTAGGTTCCTAAACTGTCAGCATCCAGACACTGAGGTGCCCTAACTTCCCAAACAGTCTGAACACTCATGCTGCATCCAACCATTTTGCAGATTGTCTCCATTAAATAGCTCTTGATCATAAACTTAGATGAGACGCTGCAGTTGTAACATTAAAATAAGTAGGGACTTCACTGAAATCCTTGAAGTGAAATTCTTCAGTTTCCCCAGGTGCATCAGGCAAAGATAAATGCTTTCTCTTTATCATTTAAGAACATGATCAGTTCACCAGACAACCTGGAACTGACAAGTCAGTTCACCTGGAACAACCAAAAATTGGAGCCATTTCAGTTCTTAGCCATCACCCTCTTCCCCACAGTACACTATGATGTCTGCAGTGGGGTGGCAAGACTCCCAAAAAATCTCAGAAGTGGTTTAAAATGGCAGCACATCCCAAAGAGAAAATGACTCAGGGGATGATTCTGGAGGTGGCCCAAGATGTGCACCAAGGTTAGGGTGGGGTCTCAGTGTATGTGTCAGGACCAGCAATCGCATTATCCCTCTCCATGGAATGAGGAGTTGTGGGGCACAGGAAGAGTCACTGCACCAAAGCAGAGAGTAAAAAATACCTATGGATGTGAACAGTTCCATAAGCTGTGGCTGCCCCATCCCTGGAAGTGTTCAAGGCCAGGTTGGATGTGGCTCTGAGCAACCTGGTCTAGTGGAAGGTGTCCCTGCCCACAGCAGGGGCATGGAATGAGTTATCTTTACTGTCCCTTCCAATCCAAACCATTCTGTGATTCTGTGAATGCAAAGGTTGGACGGTGTGATCCCTACAGAAAAGATTGTTGTGTTCAGATCACTGTGGAGGCATGGAAAAGAGACTGGGGCTGTGGAAGGGACTTCACAGCTTACCAGTAACCATGGATTTCCCAGCTGAACTTGGAGATCAGTCTTGCACCCTCTGTAACAGCAGCTATGTTTGATATTCTGCACTGAAATGGTCTTGAAAGATGTTGCTCTGTCATCACTGCTGCAGAGCCTCTGCACAAATTTTACACAGATGCACGAGGACAATCTTTGTGCACATAACTTCTACTAATTTCAGGTATCTGGTCTATTTGGTGGAGAATTGGAGCAATAAAACCTTATGACTGGCCATGTCAATTTTACCTCTCCATTCATTATGACAAGACTGAAATATTTCACAGCTTTAGGACATTTCAAAAAATGATAAATCTGATGCTTGACAGTGTTAGCTAAAAACATTCAGAACCCTGTGCATGTACATCCAAATTTTGACTTGTGTAGCCAACACATATGACTTTGTCTGCATATTTTCCACAATGACACAATATCTTTTAGTATGTGCTGCCAGAGAATGTTGGAAATTATATAATTTTTCTATTTTTTTAATGGTTTTAAATAATTATTTTAATTAATCATAAGTAGTGTGTTAATTCTTAAGTCACTTTTAGCTAGCATTTAGCAAAGTTGTCATAAGCTGCTATTGTGGGAACACAGCTTGGGAAAATTACTGAAACTTTAAGTTTTGACAAACAAACTCTCTTTAACCATTGAACATTAATTTGTTTGCTAAAATGTATAAATAGGTGAAAAAGTTTTGTATCAGAGTCTGTGTGGAGGCCAGAATTATGTCGGACACACACACACACACACACACCTCCTGACTAAGAATAAAGTAATGCCTCACTGATTAACACTAAAAAGGCAGCGTTAGAGGGTTTTAGTTTTCCAGATGATTTCAGACTACTTTGGCAACAGGATGTGTTTGGAGGGGAACAGAGATTGGCCTCAGGATGGTGATCCTGAATTGCAGGTTGCAGGATAGAGGCAGGAACAGAACAGTCAAACTTTTTAAGTCATTTAAAGCAACAGAAAGAAGTTCCTCACCCAGACAAAGATATGGATGGGAGAAGATAAGTCAGACGTGGAGACAGGAGGAGCTGGACTGAAGCAGCCCAGGAGTGCAGAGTCCAACTGCCCAGTCGTATTTTGCTCAAATCATGGAAAACCCCCAAACTCTGGGTTTAGCACTGACTGTTTCACCAGAAAATATCTGTGAGACCTGCTGCTAACATCTGTACTCCATTGATACGGATTGCAGGGCCAGAGACCAAGACAAGGACAGCTTGAGAATCTCCTCAGAACCTGTTGCAGAAATAAGGACATATATACGTATATATCAGGCACTATGTACCAGAATCCTGGTGTGTGTGTATATATTTCCACACCTGGTATATATAAATAGATATATAGAGATACATAGATATAGATACCAGTAAAGAGGAAAATCAATATATAAATAGATATATAGAGATACATAGATATAGATACCGATAAAGAAGCAAATCAAAGTTGCATGGCGAATTTGGCGTGGTCTTCTTTAAACCTGTGTTCCTTTTGGATAATGTAGCTGTAATAATGTGCTTTTTATGGCAATGTAGTTAGCATATTTTTAATAATAGCTTTTTCCTGCAAGATGCTGAATACTCTCTTTTTCCATAAGTTATTGCAATTCAGGATACTGTACCCGCGCAGGGATGGGCCTTATTTTTCAGGTATAGATTGCATTTGAGAAGGAGAAATTTCAACTTCATTCCCCTGGATTGCCATTATACATGCTGAAAAGGTAAGCTAGTACAGAAAGTAATTGATATGAGTTAAAAGAATTGCAATTTTCTTGGCTACTGTGTCGCTTCTGTTTTACACCTTAGCAATTTCTGTTGTGAATGATTAATTCAGCTCCAAATCATTAGATTAGGCAAATGCGCTGACTCAAAATATAACAGGAATGCAGAAGGAAATGAAAGGGAATAGGCATAGTAAATATGTAAAACATTTTACAATAAGATTATTTCTGCCAGGTCAAGGCAATAAAGTTTTACTAGCTTGGACGACACGTATATGGCAGGAATGATGACGGCAAAATAAACCTTGGAATTCTCTGTATTCAGATTAATACAGACAGTCAGAATAACATGGAAACAGGTGTCTTTATGTCTTTGAACATGCTTAGTATACCTGAAGTGACCCAAGTGAAATCTGTTGACAGAGGATAGATTTTTAAGGATTTACACCTTCAGGTATGAAGCAATGGCTTAGGTGTTCAGTCTGGGAGCAAGAGGAAAATGTTGAGCTCCTCAGCACTGAGAGATTCCCGAACTCCTACCTGAGCACCAGTATCCAAGAGTTTCTTGTACCCTCACTGACTCACTTGATTACCTCCTGGAAAGATTCCTCCATCTTCTTTCACCCCTAGTCATAGGGAACATCTCTCTGCAGAATATTTTCCGTGATTTCAACCCCACCTGGCCCTGCGTAACTGGAACTCAGTTTACTGATGGCACAGGGCACATTTTGCAGGTGATAACTTTACAGGCAACACAGGCAAGAAGATCTCTTTGATGGTAGGCTGTCAATATTGCAGATAAAAGAAAGAAGGGGAAAAATCAATTTTATATGGCTGGCTTTTCAGGACATTGCATCAGAAAGAAGTAAGTACAGAAGCTGGTAACTATCCTTACTCCTTGTGAGTAATCCTTACTGCTCAGGTACTTCTTGGAAGTGTATGTCTATTTATTAACTTGTGGGAATATATCTGGTAGTCAGCTCCAATGACCAAACCCAAGTTGTTATTTATGATAAAAAAAAAGAACTGGAACATTGGTAAACTTGGGAAATTCCTGAAAGTCTGCTTCATTTTAAAGCAAGATTTGCACGAAGGTTCTCAAGTTGAAGATACTGAAGGGTCTCAGCTGAATACATTGTAGGAGGCTTTCAGTAGGAATAGTGAAGCCACTTGGTGTTTGAGGAAAATAATCTGAAAAAGAATAAATTAAATTGTGGCCATTGAAAGGAAAATTGAAAATACTAAGCATTGTAAAATGTTTTGATTCAAAACTGAGCTATTTATTTTACTGTGATACATTCACAATGCTTAAGGTCACGTTAAATAAAAATGGACCTTTCAGTTTAAAACATTAATGACAGTTTCCACAGATTAAAACTTTTTCAAAAATACCCCCAGCCATTTGAAACCAGGTAATTAATGGAGAACTGCCTCTTTCCTGAAAGTAGCTTTTATTTTTATGAATCTGCATATTCTGGGGAAAGATTTAAAAGTCTCCAACTATTTCTAGGCATGAAATAAGCAGGATTCAGGCCAAAGTTAAATATCTATTTTAAGTTTGTGACTTTCGCTGTCTATATTTTCTTATGGAGACATATGACATCTTAAAAAATTGTATTACCTCTAAGGGCCTCTGTTTTTAAGATTCCTCAGGCTGAAATTAGAAAATCTTCAAAACACTAGTTGCTTAACTTCACAAGATCCAAGCATTTAGAATTGATTTGAATGTTTGAAATTTCAGGCTGTTGTATATTTGATAAAATGAAACAAAAAATATTTCATTTACATAAAATAAGACATTATTTTTGTATTAATAAAAAGTATTTTAAGATACAGCTTCCAACGAAGTATAACTTACAGCATAATCATATTAAGCCTATTTTAAGCCAACATATAATATTCATTCTTGTCATTTTCCACTATTACTTTTTAACTATCACCTCATAACTTTATCTGGAGAGCCAATAAACGACAAACGACGTGCATTTTTCATGACTCAGCATTGCAGTTATTATTAAGTTGTCTCTAATATGTCAGTTGCCTTTATCAACTACGGGAAAAATCAATATCTGATAGGACTTCACGGCGTGTAGCAAAGTATATAAGCATGAGGTTTGTATTGCTCGGTCTCAATTTGTCACTTCAGACCATCTGACTAAGAAGGGCCTCTTAAATCCTCATCATTTCCTTGTTATCTGATTTGCAGGAATCCAAGACTTAAGCAACCATGTCCAACTCCACTGAGGCAGAACTCATACACATGTTTAAGGGAATTCCCTTTACCACCAGGTCTTCTCCAGAACTTTTAAAATCCTTGGATACTTTTGATGCTAGAGAAGATGATGTCCTTTTGGTTTCCTATCCCAAATCGGGTAAGTTCCAATTTTAAATGTTAGTTGCAGAAAGTCTCAATTGTGTGTTTCATGTTCTCTGCTTAAACTATTTGGGAAATAACTGTGTAGAAGAAACAGAAAAGGATGTTTGAGTGTGTGAATACATTATGCTGTCAGTAAACTTTAAAATTACAAGAAATATGGGTCATTTACCTACATTTTGATTCTGTAATTGAAAATAATCTCAGGTGTTTTCATATTGGAAGGCAAATAAATATTCCTTACTTGTAAGCAACACCTGTACTTGAAAGATTTTCCTGAGGACTTTCTACATTCAATTATGAGCAAGTCAAGAGTTGTATTAAGTTATTTGTATGGCTCTTGGCTGTAGATTTATTAGTTTCTTATCTCCTCTCCACCTGCCTCTCTTGCACAGAGAAGCACACACCAAAGGGGAAGCTTAATCAGTACTTTCCAAATATAAAGACTCAAGTTACTATAAGGAAAAAAACAATCAAACAAAACAAGTTATTCTAAAATAAATGATAAAAATAATATAACCACCTCTCAGCTGACAAGCAGTTTGTCTATTGAGATTGTTTTTGGTACTGTTATTAACACTTCTCATGGAGTTACTTTGTACTTCAGCTATAACCCTAATTTTTCAAGTGTTTGTTTATTTGGAGCCAATGGAATTATTCAGTCATGTAAAGTTTCTTGAATCTGGGGGAGTAGAAGTATCATTTGTTCACTAGCAACCTGTTTCCATATGAAAAATGCATGTCTCATATATCCTCTCGATAACAAATATTTTTTTTCTTGTTTGCTTGTTTTCTTAAAATTACTTTTCTACAGGCACCCACTGGCTTGCAGGAGTTATAGCAAAGCTTTACAATACTCAAGTTACAATAACATCTCCCATTGAATTTGGAGACATTTCCAGACTGGAGGAGCTGAATAACCTCTCATCAAAGAGAATCATTCCAACACACTTAGACTACAACATGTTACCTCCAAATTTTAAGAAAAAGAAATGCAAGGTAAGGTAAAAATTACATAAAAGCTGTAAGATATGCTAAGTGTCTATCAGGAATATGTTTTGTCCTGTTGATCCTTAATAATTTTTGAATGATTTAGAGTTTCCAGAGTTGGTTTGCTGTGAATTTTGGAGACACAGCTGATCAACAGTCAAAGGCAGCATGAGCAGAGACTTGGACTAGGGACTGGGTTCTGCTCCTGCCCCACTGCTCTCTGATTTGTATACCAGGCACCATACAAAATAGAACATCAACACCTTTCAATCATAAATCTCTCATTAGGGATGGAGGGTTTCTCATGGCCTCATTTCCTAGTGTCTTAGAAAATAGTTATCTTGGGTACTTACAGGCTGTACTGGAGTTGAAAGTACTCTGCCCCTCCTGCTGAAGCTTTGTGAAGAACATATAAAGATTTTGGGAGAACAGAAGAGAACTGAAGCGTGGGAGGCAGATTAAGATCACAGTTTTGAGTTCATAGAATCACCTGGGTTGGAAGGGACCTTAAAGATCATCTAGTTCCAACTCCCATGCTGTGGGCAGGGACACCTCCCACTAGACCAGTTCCTCCTATGCTAATGTGGGAGGTCTTTAAAAATAAGCTCTGAGTCTCAGATCTTTTATTGAAAGTCTAAAATTTCAGGATAACTCCGATACAGACTTTTGGGACAAAGCAAATTTGAATGAAAAGCCAAAATTTAAGTTTTGCAGCTGTCCTGTGAATGTTAATAAGTAAATGTTTTCATACATGAGATGTATGAGATAGTAAACTGACTCATGAGTTAAAGTTAACCCAGGCTCTTTCATAAAACGTAAACATTACTCAGCTGTGGCACCTCTTTCCACATGGAATTGCTTACTAACCACTACGGACTCCTGCCTAAGAAGAGACAAATACATTTCTAATTTAATGGCATGGTCACTGAAGGAGGAGTCCTAAAGGAAAGGGGTTTGACACTGCCAACTGCCTGTGAGAATGCTATATTTACACACAGAGCTTCTCTAAAACAAAGGAAGGATGTTATCATTAATAAATATATCATCTTCATTTACAGATGATCTACATCAGCAGAAATCCAAAAGACACTGCTGTTTCCATGTATCATTACTACAGAGATAACCCAAACCTTCCCACTGTAGATACCTGGACTGCTTTCTTTGACTTGTTCTTAAAAGGGAATGGTAAGAATAAACTTTTTCTCCTTGCATTTTACATTGGCTTATTATGCACAGAAAGAGTTAAGAAATGTGAACTGTGTGAAAACTCCTTATTGAACTCCTTATTCATATGGCATTAGCTGGGGGGACTGGGAGTGTCAGGATAAATTCTAATGCCAAACTAAACAAGAGTGAATAATAGGATGCCCTCTTCAGCCCTGCAATGAGACATTTTGATAAGCAGCTGCATCATTTCAGCTTGAGTGCTCTTTGCAGGTTCTTGCTGTTCTTTACACACCTGTTAAAAAACCTATTCTCCCAGAAAAGACACTGATTTCTTTTCTTTGCATGAACACTCTGCAACCCCTGACCGTTTGTCGATTCCAACGTGGATTTGCCCTGTGTCAAAAGTTTTCCAGCCTTGACTTGTGAACCTCAGTAACAGAGTGCTTCCCCCCAATAATTCACGTGTAAGCTATGATAGGGGAGGTATGTGTACACAGCTTCTCCAAGCAGATGCAGGGTAGCTGAGCTGGCTACAGCCCACCTCTGTCCTGGGCGGGGCGGGTGCTCTCTTACAAGGAGCTCAGCCCAAATGCAGGAAAAGGGCATGGGAGGGCACAGTCTACCAGGCTGCACCAACAGTCTAGTGTCTTCCCCAGTCTTGAAGCCAGCCCAGGGCAGCCCTTCAAAGGAGTCTGGACATGTTCTTAAAGCCCTTCTGCACACACTCTGCCTGATGTGTTGTCTTAGTAGCAGGGTCCAAAGACCAAGGACAGGAGGGAGATTTTTATGAGTGGTGGGATGGAAGTTAACAACAGGACCTTGTTCACTTTATCCACTCCCATTTTTAGTGTTTTATTACTCCTTTGAGGAGTAACATGTCACCCTAGTGATGATAACAACAATAATGATTGATCAGCTTGAAAACTTTGAAAGAAAAGTGCCACTGCAGTCATCATGGGCTCACATCAGAGCTCCAGAAGTCAATTTGCTCACTGCCTTCTCTGGGCTTGGGCTCAGATCTTGTGTTCCTAGATCAGAGCAGGCCTAAGGCGTGAGCTTCAGTGATTTGCAGTATCTTGGCTTGTTTAGTATGAACTCCGAACATACAATAGTGAAAAAAAAGAAAAGAGGATTGTATTCAGGGCAAAGTTGGATGGGGCTTTGAGCAACCTGGTCTAGTGGAAGATGCCTGTGCCTATGGTGGGGGGGTTGGAACTAAATGATCTTTAAAGTCCCTTCCAACCCAAATAATTCTGTGATTTTATGATTAAATTATAAAAGCATTTACGTGCAAATTATTAGCCACCTTCTGAGTGCTTGCCCATGGCATAAACAGACAACTACATTTGTTACATCAGAAATTTAGGTAAGAGGTGATATGGGGGGAAAGGTCATTTTCACTTCTAATTTCACTCTGAACGTCATTTTCACTTCTAATAAAAACATAGGACTGTTGTGCTGCTTGATTCAAACCCTGCAGTACTCTTGCATAATATCAGCTCAGAACAAGGGTTAGGGCACAGAGGGACAACTGTGTTGCCATCCTTGGAGTCTCCAAGGCTGTATGCTGTACTGCTGAATCCAAGAGGGTTATGCTATTGTTGGCCACATGCCCAGGGTAGTTGACCAGGAGAGCAGGGTCTAATTGCACACCGTGGAGCACATGCGCCTTGCACTCAGAGACTGCTTTATGTGCTGGAGAGGGCTACAGACTGGAGCATTCAGCTTAATTATAAGTATTAGTTATAATTAATGCTTAATTATAACTCACAGTTTGCAACCAAAATGTTGGTCATTACAAGATTATACTGTTGTGGTGGTGCTTATAAAAGCAAAGTCACAGTCTGGGAGAACACTGGCCATGATTGCTCTGTCCAGGCCTCTTCTCATTGCCCTACAAAGAGGCTTTCATCTCCCCTTTCAGCTGGAAAGGTCAGAATGTTGTTTTGTAAAAGAAAGATGAAGTTTAGCTGTCCTCCCATGGTCCAGGAAAAGGAGCATTCAGGCACAACAAGCACAGTGACTCAGTTATAAACCGTTTTATCTGTGTCGTTGGCTGAATGATGTATTTGCATAAGTTCTTTACATAATCCTTCTTTGGTGTTTAAAAATTATACAAATTCCCTTCTGCTGAGACAAAAGAGAGCTGACAACAGTGTGGTCCATTTAAGAGAGTCCTTATTTCATTTCCTGGTGAAGTGATTGTATTTCTACCTGTGACCACAGACATGCAGTCATTTGCTGAGATGCTCAGATCTTGTTAGGTGGGTACATTTTCCTTCATTACTGGCCTTTCCTTAGATTTGGAGTCTGTTTCTACTACAGAATTATATCTCAGAATAGTCTCTGATATGAAAACAAATGCCAACAAGAATGGTAACCTCTTTGGATGTCACTTTTGTAAGTTTGCGTCACTTGGCACAAAGAATTGCATTTGTTTAAGAGGGATATGGGGTACATATTATGAAGGGATCATTCCCCTAAATGTGTGAGGTACCATCACAGTTCTTTATGAATAAAGTTTATCTGAATGACTTTTATATGGGTTTTCTTTTCAGTTGTCTGTGGATCCTGGTTTGATCATTTCCTAAGTTGGGAAGAACACGAAGATGACAAAAACATCCTATTTTTGTTCTATGAAGACATGAAGAAGGTAAATATGCTCTCTGCACTTGGTTCAGAACGCATTACTTGTAAATTAGCATCATTAAATATCAAAGAGGAAATTATAATGAAAAAGGAGAAAGAAGGAAAATGTGAATGTATGTCTTTGGGCATATTTTGTATTTGCATAGAATTTTATATTAGTGAACTAATTCTGACTGCACAAGTTATATAAATATCAAATCCTGTGAGAGTTACATTTCTTACATGCAGGAATGGGACTCATATTACATAATTTTCTCCAGGCTACAAGGGAGAATTTTAAGTTCCTCTTTCTTGGTCCTAGGGAAAGACCAACCAAGGACATCTGTTGAGGGCCACACATTAACTTGCTATGTCTGACATTTTCAGTGAAATTTTAAAAAAGTGATGTAAGACAACAGAACTACTCACAGTCTTGTGGTGCTTGTATTCCCAATAAACAAGAAAATTAAAGACTGAAAGGGTAGGAAAACAGTTTGGTGAAAGGAAATTATGCAGACACTGCTTTGCTGTTCTTAAAAAAAAAAAAAAAAAAAAAAAGTAAAAGACCTTAGCTTTCAAAGAATGAATTTTTGAGTGAATAGAAAACACTCTAGTGTTTCTATTAAAATAGGTTTGTTCATTTTTTGGGAACAAAAAAATTCCAAGATGAGGAATATAAACAAACTATTTTGTATTCTGAGTCACTTGTTAGATCTCTAGATACATCACCTCCACTGAAATAAGCTACTTACACAGAAGCTGAGCTTTGAGTATTTCTCTATTCCTAGTGAAATAATTCTGAGAGACAGGAGAACATTTTATCTGAACTGGGAGTAAAATTGGGAATATAACTGTGTTTGGTATGACATACTCAGTATTTATTCACTTCTGTGAGTATGGGTATGAGGGGAATCAGGTTTACTGCACCTGTCATCTGCACAGTCCAATTACATACTTGGCTTGCTTGAAAGCAAATAAATGTGTGACAAACTTGTTATGTAATAAAAAGGATCCTTTTCAAATTAGCTAAAAGTCTGATAATCGGCTCAGAAATATAAAAGCTTTCTTTTTCTTGTACCTCAGGATCTCCCTAAGGTTGTAAAGGAAATTGCTTTGTTCTTGAGTTTAAACGTCAATGACAAAGATATCCAAGACATCTGCAGTAAATCCTCCTTCTCAGAGATGAAAAATGACACAGAAAAGGAGAACAGTGATCCCAGTCACACTGTGTGTGCCCTGACATCCAACAGGAAGCTGATTTTCCGAAAAGGTAAGTTCCTTTCTTCTTAACACAGCAGAAGGAGTGGAAACCCAGGCAGAGGCCAAGGGCCTGGTCTTTCCCAGAGTGTAGTGGTGCTTGGGTCAGCCCTAGGATGCAACAACAGGATTCTTCAATTTGAAGCCCCCTTAAAAATCACTTTCTTTCTAAGTTCTCTGTCTGCAAATGCAGACTTATATTAGAGAAGCACAGAGGAGCTAGAACAACAGCCTGACTAATATTGCTCCAAGGAGTGGGAGCTGTTGAGCTAAAAGGAAAGGTTTGCTCAGCATTATTCTTTATCTATGGGGTTTTTTATCTAAAAGTTGACCACCTCAGTCTTTTACAACGTCTCCTCTGACACCACCTGCAAAAGTCACTTAGTTTACTAGAAAAATAAAGAGCAAGACACATTCCTTCTGAATAAGACTGCTCTTATCACCTCCTATCTTAAGGAAATATTCCTGAGAAAGGAATATGCTGACAATGACAACAACAAAAGAATGGTCACAGGTAGCCTCCAGACCCCGAGCAAGCTGGAATCCACGGAAAATCTTCCACAGTGTTTAGTTCAGATGTGACTTTAAGATATCTGCAGGAGCTGTTTTCTTGCTTCTGACGTTTCAGAAGCTTCCTCAGGTTTGGATAATAAGTAAAACCAAATCCATCATGTTTACATGGATTTTGATTATATTTATTTACTTAATTTTTGAACAATAATTGACAGTTTAAAACCAAGAGTTGTTTCAATTAATAAATAGGGAAATGGTACCTTCTGTTATTTCAGAATGTTTTTACCAATGAGCTGAAACAAATGCCAAAATACAATCTGTCATTAAAAAAAAAAAAAGAAAAAAAAACAGATATGTTTTTCTAAGTCAGTGAACTTTGATGAAGATATGTTGAAAATTTTGAAAAATTCCAACAGTTTCACTTACAGGGGCATGTAGTAATAGGACAAGGGGGAACAGCTTTAAACTGAAAGAGGGTAGGGAAGAAATTCTTGACAGTAGGAGTAATGAGGCACTGGAACAGGTCCCTTCCAACCCAAACCACGATCTATGATTCTATGATTTCCTCTACTGACTGTGAAAAAACCCAGGCAGAGACCTTTAACTACATACAACTAAGGCATGGCAAGATGCTTCCCTGCCGAGATGACCAGGAGCTCTAATTTCACCTTGGAAACCTTCTGCTCTTCATCCACCACTTTTGTTGGCACTAATCCACTCCGAGGCTGAGGGTTTAACAGCCTTTATGGATGACAACACAGCTGCTTCCTCCAGAGTCTTGCCAGATCAGTAAAGCAACTCACAGTCATGACCTACCACAGAGACTATGGTTAATAATCTGTGCCAACTCCAACATTAACAAAACTGGGCTGCCTTTGAATAATTTTTTGCTTCAAATATTACTAGCTTCACTGTTCTTTCTGTTCCTGCTCTCCTAGGTGCTGTCGGTGATTGGAAGAACCATTTCACTCCAAAGCAGAATAGGAGGTTTGAGGAGATATTTAATGAGAAAATGAAACTCAGCAAGATGGCAAAATGTTTCATCTATGAAGTTTGACTCCATGTGAAGAACAATATGCAGTTATCAACAAACGTACACAGAGTGACTGGTGGGAAATTCTGAATGGGCACTCCTCCCATTTAGTTTGTAATGCTTCCAATAGATAGGACTGTAAACATGAGATTTTGAGGAGAGAAAAATTCTGACACAGTGACAGACCTGAACTCAGTTCTCAGCAGGCAGATGTTTATGGTTTTACAGAGTCAGATGTCAGACCTATTTTTTGACAACAAAATTTACTTCATCTTTTTTTTTTTGTTTTGCTCCAAGGGGATATGAACAGACTTCTTAGATCTGAATTAGGAATTTTACCCATGATATTATGGGAAAAAAAAGGTACCTGTAAGAAACAAGATAGAAAAAGTCTTTAAAAACTTCATAAGAAAATGACAAAAATTCTGTCTTCTGTAATACACCATGATTTATGAACTGCCTATCTTACTGGACACTGTTATTGACACCGAAGTTGAAAACTGCAGCTGTGTATTTGACAATCCATAGTGAAGTCTGTTTACAAAAATGTTTCTTTTTTTTTTTTACAATATGTAGTTCTTTGATGTAACTTATTTCTGGGTTAGATACCATATAGTGTTTGTGTTCTAAATGCAACTGATATAAATCCAAGTAAATTTCTGCAGCATATGTTGGGCAACTATAAAAGTGTTTTTTTCCATTTGACTTTCTTTCTGCAAAATGTCTGTTTCCAGTGTTTTGATGAGAACCATTTTGCTTCACAGTCCTTGTGCAATAGAACTCAACAGCTCCACCGTGGTAAACAAACCACAACTCAGAGACAGCTTAATCCAAACACGACTTATTTATTTACCCTGCCCTGATAAGGTAGACTTTCCAATAATCAGCTGTCTGTGTTCACATCCGAGGGACTGTTCTAGGAAATCAGTGAAGATTTTTCTTCTGATTTATTCCATGATGTGTTTTTTGTGTCCTCACCTTTGCTTTGAAGGCTGGCTTTAAGGACTCTTCTCCCCAGACTAGTTTTCCCCAACCATACAGTTATGAGGCTGAAAAGCTGAGGTATTGCCTTATTTAGTGAAATACTAATCTCTCTCCAGCCACACACTTCACACTTGCCACACAGTCCTTTCATTTCATACCTGGCCTGTGCAAGATGACATCAATACCTACTGATTTTGCATCTGCATATCCGGTACTGAAGTTACGTATTGGAGAGACCAAGAGAAAAGCCTGTTTGACCACAGTCCCTTGCCATTTACAATTCAACACAGGGGAGATGCTGCCCTTAGCACTGCCTTTTGCAGATGACCCACTTGGAAATCAGAATTTAGATATGTTACTTTGCTCTTCTGACATTAAAATCATTCTCTCTCCCTCCAAAATGCCACAGACCACTGTTGCCCTCCTTTCAGTGTTATTATTCCAGTGTTAATAAATGGCAAGAAATCAGCTAATGAAGATGCTTGAACATTTTACTGGAAGACTTATTTTTTTCTGGCCCTCTGAGTTTGGAAAAAAGCCAACAGGTCCTTGGGCAAATGAAGTTTGCAAGCGAGTTTAACTGCATTAAGACTGGTGTAAGCAGTATCTACATGTATATGCACAATATGAAAGTGTGTGTGAAGGGACAGGATAAGGACATGCCTCATGGATCAAAACTACAGGGTAGCAGGTCCATCCTGCACAGGCACAGCCTGGTGCAGCTGCAGAGAGCTATGTCAGAGGTCCAGAAACCCAGGCTGGGCGCTGTTCCTAAAGGGTGGGGGCATGTGATGCTATTGGCAACCAGGGTTTTCCAGCAATTGCTACATCTACCATTTCTTTCATCCTCTTTTCTCTGGCTCTCCTCACTGTGCTGCTATTCCCTCTCTCCTTCCTATGACTGTAACAGAGGGATTCAAATGGAATGTTTCAAAGAATCGTCAGTCTAGTTCCACAAATCATTCTGGCAGGTTGTGGAGATGTTAAAGAACTTTCAAAACTTCCATAGTAAGATGTTGTAAAAATGTCTCCTCCCCTCTCAGTTTCTCTTTCTTTTTTCCTATGGCAGTTAAAATGTTTGCGGAGGATGACATTTCAGCACTACAAAATATAAAAGCACTGATCCAAAATGTACCTAGAGCACAGCAATACTAGGTTTGGAAGAAATAAAGCCCTGTGCAATCTCTGTTACATGGAAATGCTTACAATACTGCTTTCTTACTCTGGTAACATATTTTCCCTTCCTGAGTCAGGGCTCTTCTCAAGATTGATTTAAGTAGAAAGAACAGGATTAAACATTTACTCCATCAGAGCTGAGACGTGGGGCTTCTACCTGCTCTTGTTGAAGTTACCCTGCTTTGCTTGCTACCCAGGCTTATCAGACCTTTGGGTCAGATAAAAAGAAAGTAGAGCATTTGGAGGGCCAGAACTCTTGCGAGAGGAGCCCACGAATTCCAGGCCTTGCTTTATGAACCTCTTCCCTGAAAACATCACACAATTATCTCCTAAAGTAGCCCTCGGAGAAGAAAAGGTGCTCAGGTAAACAACCCAGCAACCTGAATTCAAGTCATATTAGTTCTGATACGAGTGATGCCTAAAGCAGTTTCTTGGAGGAAAAAATGACTGGGGAAAAAGTCGCACCAAATAGCTTCAGGAACACCTTGTAGAAGATGAAAATTAGGCTGGGGGAGTGGGGAGAGCATGCAGGGGAAGGAATCTGAGCTAGTTCTGTTAATATTTGAAGCCAGAAGTCATGGGAAAACAGAAGACTCAGGTCAGGACATCAATTGGTGGGTTTCTGCATTGGGTCTGAGCAGAGATGCTCAAGGGATCAAAACAAGGGTTTGCTTGTAACCAGCTGTCAGACAGAAAGGTAAAGGTGGAGGATAAGAAGGAATTTCTGTGGAATCTAGTTCATGACCAGCTGATGAGAGAAAGGACAGTCACAGACCACAGACAAAAAGCCAAGGGCACCCCTGCTGCAGAGACTCAGCAGGGATGGGGATGGGACTCAGAAAGGGCTGAGTGTGTCAGTGAAGGCAATCACTGAAAGACCACATTCAGAAAGGGAGGAAGAGGACTGAGTGGTTGTATCAGTCTTTCACCAGTTCCAGCCTCACAGATGACAACAATCCTCCTTTTTTCAAGGGGCCAGAAACCAGATAATTGTGCAGCAACTTCTCTATTAACTTTGACAGGAGACAGTCCTCCCCTGTTACTGAATTCATTTACCTGTTCTGCCTACCAGAGAAGATAAACTGTTAGGACAGACTGAGGGGCTGTGTGGTGAGACATTGCTCTTCCTGGGATCCCACAGAAGAAGCTTCTCCTGGGCCAAGTGGGGAGGAGCAACAGCACCTCATGGCCCCAAAAGGAAGCGAATGGGAGCACCCACCCAGCAGCTGCTTGAGCAATAAAACAGAAACAAAAAAGCATGAAGTCACCAATTACACTGCTGTGCCTCCCTTTGGCCTCTTTCCAGTCTGGTCCTGCAGGCCAACGACAGGTGGAAGCAACAGCTGTCTCGGAAACGCCTGCAATCCAGCGGGATCAGGGGCATGTCCACTCTTGGGTGAGTCTGCAGCCATCCAGGCTTTGTGCCAGTAGAAAGGGAAGCAGCGCTGCCTCGGAAAGGAACAGGAATGTTTGTTCTTCACTGACACCTATTGACTGCAGTGCTTTAACTGCAAAGCCCTGCACAATTTCACAGGATGCTGCAGGGCTCAAAAGCAGAAGCAGACTCAGAAGGGAATCAGCCACAGGTTTAGGGGGAGCAGGTCTGTCCCTGGGTACCTGATGCACAGCCTGCTTATGAAGTCCTTCAGTTCTGAACACCAGTGTCTGCAAGGATCATAGGATCATTAAATCATAGATTGGCCTGGGTTGGAAGGGACCTTAAAGATTATGTAGTTCCAAGCCCCCTGCCATGGGCAGGGACACCTTTCACTGGACCAGGTTGCTCAGAGCCCCATCCAACCTGAACTTAAACACATCCAGGGATGGGGCATCCACAGCTTCTCTGGACAACCTGTTCCAGTGCCTCACAACACACAGAGTAAAGAATTTCTTCCTAATATCTAATCTAAATCTAAACCTACTCTCTGTCAGTTTGAAGCCATTCCCCCTTGCCCTGTCACTCCAGGCCCTTGTAAATAGTCTCTCTCCATCTATCTTGCAGGCTCCCTTCAGGTACTGGAAGGCCATAACTGAGTTACCCCAAAGCCTTCCCTTCTCCAGGCTGAACAATCCCAATTCTCTCAGCCTTTCCTCACAGGAGAGGTGCTCTGTTCCTCTGATCAACTTGGTGGCCTCCTCTGAACTCACTCCAAGAGGTCACTGTGCTTCCTGTGCTGGGGACCCCAGAGCTGGATGCAGCACTGCAGATGGGGTCTCGCCAAATGTACCCAGGATGTACCCAGGAATGACTGACCTGAGAATCTACCAGCAGCCACAGTCGAGACAGGATGATGGTACAGATGATGGCATTCATAGGTAAGCAAATATTGACTGGAGTAACAAAAGCAGAATTTCCTTTTCTGCCTGCAAAGCCTTTCACTAAAACAAAGGATAACTGTGGTTTGCTGTTCTCTGTAACTTCTGACCTCGGTAAACCACTTAGACCTATCCATCAGGCAGGAAAGCATCACCATCCTGCTCAAACTGCAGGTAGTTGCCTAGCTACTTCAGAAAGATGAGGAAATAATCAGTTTACAGCGTTGCCTACTGGCTGAATTGAGGATTTACCTGAATTACAATTAAAAAAAAAAAGGGCTTCATTGTCAGGTAAATGAAATGCAATATAGAGCTTGGTGATATATCTCTGTGCTATCCAAGCTCTGACACCAATGACAGCAGCTTAATTGGAGCAGCCCAGCCTCAAATTCCCCTGCTTCTCAGCAGGGACAGCAGTACAGAGGCACTGCAAGACAAATCCAGTTAGTTCTCCACATGGCCTTGCACCACCTGAAACTTTACCCTGAAATCCCCATAAATTTCCTGGCTCCCATTACAAATCCAGTGTGTACTTTCTCTAAACAAAGTTCACACAGACACAGGGGTGTTGATATACTGATGTGCCAAGTCAGGACTAGGGGCTTGTTCGTGAGTTATCAGAACCACTGCCCATAAAACCCATCCGTAGTCCACGTCTGGTGCACATGTAGCTCCACGTCCTTTAAGGGGCAGCACTCAGAGAATGGAATGAATCCAAAGGTAGATCATGATAAGTATTTTGAAGGTATCTTTAAGTTCATTAAGTGAAATGAATGGGAGTGTTTTATATTTGTCTAAATCAGATTACTTCATCCCATTCTCCAGCTTTTTAGACCCAGCTTCACTTAATCAATTGGAACACTTCACCTGGGCCTCACTGCTCAAAAGGAAGTGGTGATGCACCCCCTTCCAGCTTGAGACTGAGCTGCTGTGGACAAAGTGTAACCAGGGAAAAAAGGTGGGAGAGTAAAAATAGTCGAAGTCTTACATGGACTGTACAAGCAATAAAAGGTTGTGCAACTATAGCCTTAGTTAAAAGTGACATCCCTGGAGAGTATATCTCCATGTTTAATACAAGAGTAGCCATACTAGGTCAGATGTACGTCAGTTTAGCCCAGAAACTTGCCTGCAAAGTATGTGAACAACCAGGAAAAACATGGAATTTTCCCGAATGT